ATCCCTGCTCACACTCACCTTTCCCTGCCCCTGTCACCAGGGCCCTCAGGCCACTGAAATTCAGCTTCATGTTGCTGACACCAGTTTCCTCTGCAGCAAGAGATGGGCTCCGTTTTTATCACTGGGCTAGCAGGTGGGGCAGGGGTGGGGCTAGGAGCAGACTGGCCTGGCCAGGGTGGCATGAGCCACTTCCTCTGAGGGGACAGCTCTCACTTCCACATCTGGCATCCAGCTCGTTAGGGCTTGAAGAAGAAATAAGAAATTGAGTACACACGTACGTATGAGAGGGGCTGACCACGGCGGAGCTGTGAACTAGGAGACCTGAGAAGGAAATGTGTGTTTTCTTTGGCCCGGTGCCTAGTCTTGATCCCTCATTGCACGCACACAAGGCAAACCTGTACTATTGGGCCACATTCCTAACCTAGGAGAATAGAAATATATTTGCCTTCCTTGCACAGAAGCATTAGCTGGTAACAGTTTTAATGGACGAGAAGCTGCACTTTCCAGTCAGCCTGACTGAAGGGCCGGAACAGCTGTGCACATGGACATGGCTGTGGCCAGACACTCAGCATTGGCAACTCTCAGGAGCTAATCCAGCACCCTGTTTTGGCTGTGATCCTGGGTAAGGGCAGACATCCAGTGAACAAGGGTGGTGTCTGATTTGGTCTGGCTAGGGCAGGTGGCTTAGACTGCTTGAGGCAAGTCTCTCCCCTCCCCACCCCCACCCCAGCATTCCTGAAGTCAGCTGCTCTCTTCACCTGCTTCTCCTAGGTGACCTCCTGCCCCCAGAGACTCTGCTCTTGGAGACCAAACTGAGGCCTTCTGAGGTAAAACTCCCCTTCTCAGAGCAGATGGGGCAACCCTTGGGGAAGTTTTGTAAAACAATCAGAGAATTTAATGTCCATTCTGATTCTGTGTCTAGGAAGTTGTCTAAAGCCATGCCAAGGCCTTCCTGATCTGTGTGACAGGAACGTGTCTTTCCAGGGGACTCGTGACAGAGCACAGGGCAGGAGGTCTGGACACACAGAACAATCCCAGAGACAGGCTCCCTACCTGCCACCCTTCCCATACTGACACTCAGTGGCCCTCAGAAAGAGGGCAACATGTTTTCAGTGATCCTCACTGAGTAGACCAGGCTAGACAGGCCTTGAGCTGCCAAGGCTTTGCCTATTCCTGCTTTCCATTTCTCCATAGGGAAGCTGGGGTTACAGATGTATGTGGGTTCTTGGGGTCTTCATCAAGGCCCTCTATGGAACTATAATTGCTCAGGATCATGGAGGAAGGGTCAACGAAAGCTTCAACCCTGAATATCTCCGATGAGGACCACAGGAGCTGGCTTTCTCCTCTCTCCCAACCTGGAGCCATAAAGTCCACTGCCCTCTATCAATCCTAATAAGGCTTCACTCCTTGTTTGACCTTATAAGGTGTACACACACACACACACACACACACACTCACGTGCACGTATACTCATGCATACATACACTGTGCATGTGCATGCACACACAAACACACACACACACACACCTCTACAAACCCCTTAGTATACAGATGAAGCATCTTCCAGCACCCCTATCCTGGCAAATAACACATAGCCACACAAACCTTGCCTCAAAGACTCTGGCCACCTCTCCAGGGGGATAAATATCACTCCCTAATAAACTGAACCAGTTCTCCAAAGTTGTTCCCTGGTGTTTTTGTTACCAGAGCACTCACTGCAGACCAAGATACTGCATTGAACCCACCCATGCAGCTGGGCAGTGGTGGCGCACGCCTTTAATCCCAGCACTTGGGAGGCAGAGGCAGGTGGATTTCTGAGTTCGAGGCCAGCCTGGTCTACAGAGTGAGTTCCAGGACAGCCAGGGCTATACAGAGAAACCCTGTCTTGAAAAACCAAAAACCAAAAAAAAAAAAAAAGTGAACCCACCCATGCTAAGTTTCCCTCCCTCCAGTCCAGCCTGGTAGCAAGCCTGGCTTCCCCGAGGAAGAAGCAGACACGGGTGACAGCCCTCATAGTTGCATAGCAAGCATTTCATCACTGAGCCATTTCCTCAGCCCTGATTTTTCTTTTTGTTCAGCAAAAATTTTGGAGAACTTAGGAAGAACCAGCAATGTCATCAAGTCATGTTGACTTAGTTGATTTGTTTTTGTTTTGTTTTGCAGGGCAGGGTCTCTCTGTGTAGCCCTGGCTATCCTAGAATTCATTCTGTAGACAAGACTGGCCTCAAACTCAGAAATCTCAGAAATCTGCCTCCCAGGTGCTGGGATTAAAGGCATGCACCACTGCCTGGCTAAAACATTTTATTATAAAAGTAATACTAGTGAGAACTGAAACACAGACAAAGACCTCTTCTTACTGCCCTGTTACTCCACTATAACCACAGTTAGTAACTTTATTTATTGTCGACTTTGATATCTTTGTAGACATGACCACATTCGTATAGTCTGTGTCTTACCATTTTTATAGCATTCTTTTTTGTTTTTTATAATATCAATCATTGACTTTTAGTAAGTTTATAATGTACCATTTACAGATACTGTTTTGCTCACACCTAAACCAGGGGATTGTAAATAATGGTCCTACGTTTGTAAATAAAGTTTTACTTGAACACGGTCATGCCTGTCTGTTTTCATGTTGCCGACAACAGTGTTGGTAAATTACGGCAGAGACAGTATGGTCTACAAATGTTTCGTCTTAATAATCTCTCTGGCCCTTTTAAAAGAAAACCATGTTGACTTCTACCCTAAATATTAGTGGCTCATAATTTGGGCTGTGTTGTAAGGTGCTGTGCACTGTGTCAAACCGCTGCCATCTTTGGAACAGCTGCTCCTATTTTTCCTTCTTTGGGCAGAAGCATTAGCCGGTATATACAATCAGAAGACAGGATAACTAGAGGATGGGCTTCTTCTGGAGCTATGGGAAGGCCGTTGTCCGTGTTAGGCGAAGACTTTCCAGTGTGGCTGCTTTGGGGTCACCTACTCTTTCTCAGTAACCCCTTACCTATGCTCTGTATGTAACTCCAATAAACCCATTGATCCCCCAAGGTGAACTATGGTGGCACCTTCCTTTGGTTCCTCATGGAGACCTAAGGAGAAGAGGGTTGACAAATCTCCCAGGGGTGTGGGAATCAGTAACAGACTTTTAAAAAGTAATGCCACTTGGGATATGCTTGTGCACTTTTTATACTTTGGGCGATGTGTTGGAGATATCAAAATCAGGAGAAGAAGCAATTGTTTATGATGAGCTCCCTGTAGCAGCTGTATGTGGGGCAGAGGCAGCATTCAGGCTCTTCCACTGTGAACACATCCTTGGCCAATAACCACCACAGCCCACATTAGCCCTAATTACATTGTCTCTGATACGAAAGTTCCAGGACAACTCTCCTGCATTTTCAAGCAACTTAGATTCTATTTGGGAAAACTGTATTCTGAAAGAAAACTTACAGATTGGGACCAGCTAAAACGAGCTTGAAGATTTCTGAGAAAAAAGTCCATTCGTTCTAGCTTGCTTTTTATTGCTGTGATTTGAACACTCTGACTGTCTTAGTCAGGGTTTGTTTTCCTGCACAAAGCATCATGAGCAAGAAGCAAGTTGGAGAGGAAAGGGTTTATTCAGCTTACACTTCCACATTGCTGTTCATCAAAGGAAGAAGTCAGATCTGGAAATCTCACAGGGAAGGAGGCAGGAGCTGATGCAGAGGCCATAGAGGTGTACTGGTTACTGGATTGCTTCCCCTGGTTTGTTCAGCTTGCTTTCTTATAGAACCCAGGACTAGCAGCCCAGGGATGGCTCCACCCACAGTGGGTCCTCTCCCCTTGATCACTAATTGAGAAAACGCCTTACAGCTGGATCTCATGGAGGCATTTCTTCAAGGGAAGCTCTTTTCTCTGTGATAACTCCAGCTTGTGTCTAGTTGACACACAAAACCAGCCAGTACAATGACCAAAAGCAACTTGGGGAGGAAAGGGTTTATTTCATTGTTCATTTGTAGTCTGCCATTAAGAGAAGTTAGAGCAGGAGCTGGAGGCAGAAATCAAAGCAGAGGCATGGAGGAACAGTGTTTTGCTGGCTCACTCCTCGTGGCTTGCTCAACCTGTTCTCTCTCTCTCTCTCTCTCTCTCTCTCTCTCTCTCTCTCTCTCTCATATATAT